CTTTTCTCCTTAAATAAAATTAAAAAAAAAATAAGTAAAAATTGCCTCAGGAAACAAGCACATCACAAAATGGTTACACCTGATAGGATGAATTATTGAGTTTTAGTACAGAACAGGTGGTAAGCTCACTTTTTAGAATAGTGAGTTTTTAAATGCAACCATTTGACACTGAAATATAAATTTTAACCTTGAGAAATATTACCTTTAAGAATTTATTAAAAGTTTAAAGGGAAATAAATCAGACACAGAAAAATAAGAACTTTACTGGAAGTTGGAAAGAGAGAGGGGAGAGTGGATAAGAGGAGATAGTTTTAACAAATACATACTATATGCGTGTATGGAAATAATGCACCAAATCCGATTAGCATGTACAATCAATATGTGTAAAAAAATTAAAATATAAGGACTATGTTTAGTATCCTGAGCACTGAGATCAGACTCATGAACAGTTAAAATGTCAGTTGATTTAACTATTCAAAGAGTAGCATAAGATTTAAACTAAAAAGATAAAAAGAAACAGAAAAGCACCAATTAAAAAAGATTGATAAAATTACATTGTTTAATTTGAGTAATTATAAAACAAAGTTAAAAGTATATTTCCAGTGCTCACAATCATTTAGCTTTAGTGTCCAACATGTAAGAAGTGCACATCTCATAGGAAATAGATAATTTCTCCCTCAGGAAAATGACCAAACAGTGGTTCATAGGAGAGGAAGTCAAAATGCTCAAAACTCCATGAAAAAGTGTGCAAGAATTCACATCATCTGAGATCGAAAGTCTGCTCACCAAACTCTATAAAAGTAAAGAAAACCACAGCTCATATTGTGCTGGTAGAAGTGTAATGGCACGGCCCCTTTTCAGCTGGTTTTACCAATACTGGGGCAATATCAAAATGAATATGTTCTCTGAGTGAGCAATTCCAGCCCTAGAAAAATACAAGAACAGTTGTAGTTTATGGTCAAAGAGAACTATGCATACCTATGTAGCATTGTTTATAACAAAATGAAAAGAAACAAATAGATGTTTATTAAAAAGAGAATATTCAAACATTAGATCTCTATACTGGAATGCATAACAGTAGTTTAAATGATTGATATAGAACTAAACTTATCAGTGAGTTTTCCAAAATGAATAAAGTCACGAATAAAGACAAAAAAATTATCGGTACCTTATGATACTTAATAACTTTGAAAATTTAGAAAACAATTTCATATAATTTTATAGGTGCATTACAATACATATGATAATATGAATGTATAAGATCATTAATGCATTTTTGAAAGTATTAAGGGAAAGAAGTGAAAGTAGAAAAATGTTTAGAGGAATATCAATTATAGTTATAAATTTAATTGAAAACTTCCAATACAAATAATGACTAAGTGCATAGTGTTAAAACTTTATGAGTTATGCTGGTGTTTGTCATGCCTTGTAGTCTTCTCTGTGTGTTCAAAATATTATGCAATCGAATTTCCACTATGGTGGACTAGAGGCACATGTGCTTGTGGAGTACCTGGAAGATGTACCCTGGCACTGTGAGTACTCAGGAACAGGAGACCCTAATGTGAGAAGGCATCATGAAGAAAAAGTCTCTCCAATTTTTCCAGTACTAGAAGTATTTAGAAAAAGAAGTGAAGCCACCTGTAGATCCTGACACTTCTTATACTACATGTCTGGTAAACATAGTATCCTGGGAAAATACCACGAGACACAGTCAAATGACAACAGTGGTGGCTGGCTGGTGAGACTGGACCTAACCTCGGAATCACCAACCAGTGCCCACCTGTCCTAACTGGCTTCTCACTGTGAGAAGAAGTCTGGTTAGTGAGACAACTACAAATTAAGGCTCTAGAAGAACTAAAAGCAAGAGAATTATTCAGAGGGCAGTGACTAAGTTAGGGTCAGCAGGACCTTGGGGGGAAAAAATGGAGCAAGGGTACAATTCTGGGGAGCTGGAACCACACATTAAGGAATCTATGGCTCAGGGAATCACAGGAACAGGCAGTTGTGGTAACCAGTGTAATCTGGAGGAGGAGATAAGACTCTGGAAAAATGCCAGAGTAGGCATTCTCCCGCCACTGCCCTGAATGTGGTGAACTCTGTTTTTCCTGGCATGTCCTGGCTGCTGCCTGACCTGATGCCACAGAGCTCTGTCCCTGAAATCCGCAGGCTGCCAGCACAAAGCCACTGAAATTTGCAAGCTCTGGACACCACTGAAACTGTGGGATGCAGTCAGAGAGTTAGGTGCAGGTAGAGAGCCAGAGAGGAGTAGATGGCCAGAAGAGCCGGCTTGCCTGGTGCTGTCAGTGGATGGCTGGTTACCTGACCAGCCTCGCTGTGCCCTCCCCTACTTTGACACATTTTAAAGTGTCAGATCATAATACAGAGGCAAAACTCCTGTGGCTATGACGAGCACAGGAGCACAATTAATACCAAAAAGAGTACTGCCTGCAGAGAGAATGAGAAGTGAGCGGTCATCCAGACCTCCTAGACCCATCACTTACTGGCACAGAAGAGAACAATTTGTGTGTGTGTGTGTGTGTGTGTATGCATGTGTGTGTCCAACACGTCTACTTGTCTCAAGTACCAGTAGACATTCCCAACCTCCTGTGTTTGTATATGTGAAATAGAGAATTAAGAATTCATTAGTGCTTTAGTTTAGGCAGTATCTCCTGTGGACATAACCACCATCAAAAATTGTGTCAAACAGAAGCATTCCATTAGAGTATTATTTGTCTTCTGAACTTCTTTTATCTTCTCTCAATCTCTAATTATCTTTCCTAGAACTAATAAATTCAACAAAGTAGCAAGTTACAAAACCAACACAGAAAAATCAGTAGCATTCTTGTGTACTACCAACAAACCCACTGAGTGAAGAAGAAGTAAATTGGTGCCATTCACAGTAACTTCAAAAAAATTAAATGCTGCAGAATGAGCCTAACAAAGTAACTAAAAAACCTCTACAACAGAAACTACAATGCTGTTAAAAAAAAAAAAAAGGGAAGTGGACACTAGGAAATGGAAAGGTATCCTATATTCTTGGATGGGTAGGACCAAATATTGTTAAAATGTGATATTATCAAAAATGGTATATAGATTTAATGCAATTCTCATCCAAATTGTAACAGCATTTTTCACAGAACTATAAAAAACAATTCTAGTATTTATATGCAACAAGATTCTGAATAGTCAAAGCAATTCTGAGCGATGAGAGGAAAACAAGAGGGACTACAATCCTGGACTTCAAGTTATAAAACTAAAGTAATAAAAACACAGTTCTTTCACAAGAAACAGATATGTTGGCCAATGGAAAAGAAGCAACCCGCAGTACCCGTCACCACCTGTTTTTTGTTTTTGTTTTTGTTTTTTTTACAAAGTGGCCAATATCAAGTGCTAGAGGAAAGATAGACTCTTTCAATAAATGATGCTGGGAAAACTGGTTATTCAGTGCAGAAGAATAAATCTAGATTCATACCTCTCACCTCCTCTCTGTGGAGACAGCAGAGACCTAAGAAAGGTGAGAGGGGGAAGGGCAATGGATAGGGAAAGAAGGAATAATAAAAAGGTCAAGATGTGAAATGTATACATATTCCCCAAGATTAATGTTATAAAATCGTATAAAAAAGTATGAAGGACACAGATATAAAAGCAGAAACACTGAATTTACTGGAAGAAAATCTGGTTAAATTCTTGAAGATATAGGCACGGTCAAGGACTTCTCAAGATATAATACCAAGAATCAACAAATTAAATCATACCAAATTGAAACACTTCTGAACAACAAAAGAAAGAATCAACAGAGTGAAGAGACAACCTACAGAGTGACCCAAAAAAAAAAAAAAATCCAGTTACTCTTTAACAGAAGAATTATATCTGGAATGTATAAAGAAGTCAAAATAGAATTCTAATAATATAAAATACTCAATCAAAAATAGGCAATTATAATGAATAAACACTTCTCATAAAAGGTACAAATGATCGATAATTACATAAAAATATTCAGCATCTTTGGTTGTTAGAAAAATGTAAATCAAAACAACACTAGGGCTCCTCCTTACTTCAGTTTGAATGGCTATTACCAAGGACTCAGAAATCAACAAATAAAGCTGGGTATGTAAGTTCAGCACTTGGAAGGTTAAAGCAGGAGGATAATCTTGAGTTCAAGGCCAGCCTAAACTTTATAGTGAGACTGTCTCCAAAATAAACCAACAAACTAACAAAAAGCTTCACAAAAACAAAATAATCAAATATTGGTGAGGCTTTGGGGAAATAGGAACCCCTCTACACTTTTGTTGGATGTATAAACTATTAAAATCACTATGGAAATAAATTGTGGAAGTTCCTCAAAAAACTAAAATTAAAAATTCTGTTTTACACAGTTATACCTCTTCTGGGTATATTCCTGATGCAGTTAAAATAATCATATCTGGTGATACCTCCATGTTTATAGCAGTGTAATTCACAAGAGCTAAATTATGAAAGCTTATTTGTCCATTAACAAATTAATGGATAAAAATGTATTTTTACATAACAGAGTACTGCAGCCATAAAGCAAGGTAAATTTCAGTCTTTTATAGGGAAATGGATGCAACTTGAGATCATAATGCCAAGAGAAATAAGATAGAGAAGATTAAATATTATATGGTTTCTCTAATATAGGAAACTCAAAATATATTTCAAATAGCAAAAGAAAAATGGTGGGAAATAGGGAAATAGAAACCATGGAGATGGGAAGGGTCTGGGGAAGGTGGGAGGACCAGTGGGTAGGGAAAGCAGGAATAATAAAATGATCAGGGTGTAAAATTTTCATATATATTCCCCAAGATAAATGTAATAGGTATCACAAACGTGCTAATTAAGATATGTATTATACAATAAAATAAAAAATACTGTATCATAAATCTTTTCTATATAGAGTTAATATAGCAAGTATTTGTATATTTGTCATATTAATAACAAATGCTTTAGAAGAAGTTTAGCATGCCAGGTTTAAAAAAGCCATTTTCTGTAAGTATTTACAGACTCCAGCCCACTCACAGTCATTTCCTTAATGCCAAACCTAGACCAAGTGACTGGAGATGCATAGCGAGGTGCATGCCCATAAAACTGTCCATAAAAATGGGCAGGCATGGAAGGTCCTGTCACAGAGCCCAGGTCACGCGACGCTTTTGGAGATGTTCTTTGTCCATGCAATTTTCCTTTGAAGGCATGGAGGGTTTATGGATAATGCTCCGTGGCATTGCGGTGCTCTCTGGAAGTGAAGTAACTTGGATTGAATCCCTAGGGAGTTCAGCAGATGAATGGATTTTCTGGCAGGTACACCTATGCTTGCACTGTAGCAGACAGAGAAAACCTAGGAAAAGGGGAAGCAATGGAGCGGGATGAAAGAACAATGAAGAATTACAGAACTTCTCTCTACAGTGGCTGAAGACCCCAAACCAAAGCCTGTTGGATTCCTGTCACCTACTTAGAGCCATCCTGGAAGGGAGTGGGTTCCTGGAAAATATTGGATATGTTTAAGGATATTAAGGATTCTTTTTGACAGAGAACAAGTCTCTACATGTGTTAGGAAGTGCAATTCCCAATGGGTATGTGGTCTGTTAGCATCAAATACAGATTCTCTCTGCCCTCAAACTGCCTTGGCACTAAGCTGTTCTCCTAGGGTCACTGCCCTTCTCCCACGAATGCCCATTTTGGCTCAGCCACTCCCCTTGAGTTTGATGGTTATCTCTGCCATAAAGTGGGAACCTACGAAAGACAGCAGAAAAAGCAGAGATTAGGAGCTGCTCTCTCCTGTGGAGGAGGCAGGCATAGCAAACACTTTACCCGAGCCCGATATCCTGGTTGATCTTGTAGGATCTGTCCTCAGAGAATGAATCCAGGCAGTGCTTAACCTTTTCACATGCAAGATTTGGCACGTTTTCCTCCATTTCCCTCTCCCATCTTTTCACTCTCCCTGCTGATTCTCTTCACTCATCAGGGCCCCTACAGACACTCACCACAGGTAGTAAAGAAGACAGCTGTTATATAGGCAGTGAAAGGAACCCACGTGATCTTGAAACTAGAGAAGTACAAGGACTGACCTTGTTTTAGCTTGTGATGATATAGTGCTAATGTACCCAGCAGAAGGCAACCTGGTGTCCAAAAAAACAAAATGGAGAAAAAAGCCTTTCTCAGGAACTTTGTCTCTTTTACTTAAGCTTCACCCCAAATACACCAGATTTCCAGTCTCCACTCTGTTTAAAAGTGCACTTTGTCCAAAGACAGCCTGCTTTAGTGTTATATTGGACTCCGAAGCTGAATATATATATAATATATATATATATATTATATATATATATATCTCTGAGAAGTAGAAATTTCAGCTAGTCAGACTGCAGCCTAGGACTCAAACCCGCCTCATTTCATACCTGTGTACATCTGTATTAGGGTAGCCAGGAAGTTACCTGTGAAGAAACAGATGAAGGCAATGCTGAGGTGTATATATCTGTTCTGAGGAATCAGGTAGGTGTATTGCATCCCCAGGATTAAGTTAAGGAAGAAGGAAAGGCAGAGGACCAACATCATCATGATCCTTATGACTCTCAGGCTGTCTGTTGAAAAGCAAAAGCTGTGCTGAGAAGACAGATATTTCCTCTACTATACCTGGGTTCCCACAAATCTCTAAGTAAAAATGGAATCAGGAAAGATTGAATGAAATAATAAGGAAGGATGGGGAAAAGAACAAAAAGGCAGAGCTCCTTCAGTTACATGAGAGAATTAAGAATAAATTGCTTTCTATCTTGGCATCTCTGTAGGTTTCCTGCTGCTTTCTTCTGATACCTTACTTCTTGTTAAATGGTTCAATTTATTCTTCTAATGAAAATATAACATTATTGTCATTTCCATATCCCTCATGTTCTAGTTGTGCCGACAACTCTCTTGATGTTGACACAATTTCCCAAATGTTCAGCAGGTACTAGACTTAATTTGAGTTTCTAAGTTTTCCTCCCAGGCATCCCCACTGTGAGATTTTGGAATCTGATGAAGTGGGCATCCTGCAGCCTGCAAAAGTTGCTTCACTAAATAATGGGTATTGGCGAGATGATCAAAGACAAGGAAAAATGAAATCTTCCTCTCCACCCATCACATTTTATAGAACAGTTCTCACCTTCTGGCCAAATGGTACTGCAACATGTCATCCATGGACTGTGGCTGACCTTGTCCTTTTTTATTTTCGGGACTAATTCAACCCATTCTTTCATAAAGATGCCTACCATCAGTGAGACTACAGCCCAAGAGGAGAAGAGCAGGTTGGTGGTCTTAATATTTCTCTTTGACATACGAGAGTGGAGATTTTTGATGAGTGCACCACCTGCGTTTCAAACGTCTCTTTCCTGTTTTGGTTACTCATAGGAAGAAGAGCTAACTCTGCGTTTTTAGTTATGGCTAAGGCAATGGCTGCTGGCAGAAGTTGAAGTAGCCTACAGAATAGAGATCACTTCCTGTTTTCACTGCTTCTGTGCTGAGGCTACAAACTGCCATAGAATCATCCGCTAGTTTGACCCTTGACCCTGGGGCCTAGTGCGGTGGAAGAATCAAGGTGCCCTGAGGTCCTTGGAGAGCTAGTAGATATATGGGAGACCTGATATCACAAAGTGGGGGGTGATTAATAGAAGCGTTAAAAAGTTAGACATGCACATTCCACAATTAGCTAACATTTGGTAAGGGTCAGGGAGGAGGAGGACTCAGGACCTTTGTGGTGAGCAGTCAGCTACCTGGCATCGTAAATGTGAATAGCGTTCAAAATTTAGGATGTTTCAAAAAACCTTGGGTCCTCGTTGGGATTTCCCAAAGGAGCTTATTTAGGTCATCATCCAGGAAATTGATCAGTGCCTTAAAACAGAACTGGTCTGATGCAATGAACCATTACAGTCCAAGATTATTTACAAGACACAGAAAATACTTATTGCCAGAATTGCCTTTGTGACTTGACAGAGAAAACATTTTATACTTGTTTGAATAAGCAGCCATGGTACACACTAGATTCAGAGTCCAAGACATAAAGAGTTTCAGGCACTAGAAAGAGGCCTAGTTTTTTTCTAACATTTTAAAGTGTTACAAAATAATTGGATATATTTGTGGTACAGGGTACAGTGTGATAATTTGCTATATACATACAATGTACAATGTCACATTGGGGCAATAATCCAAAATATGTAAAGATATTTTATGTCTCATTTTTTTTCAGAGTAATTCAAGAGATGATCACTGAAGGCAGATAAAGGATACATGGAGATTCATTATACTATCCCCTAAGTTTTTTCAAAATCACATTATTTCCCCTTGAAGTTGCTCTTCCCTTTGTTGTAATTTACGAAATTTAGTTGCTGATTAACTGGAACAGTGTCTCTTCATGTACTTCCACTTTTCCCATCTTTCCTTTTTATTAGGAACTTTTGAACTTTTCTAATTATTTTGAAAAACTACAGTTCTGGGGACGAATTAAATCACATTTTCTAATGCTGCCTAAAAATAAAATTAGGTGGGAGTTGAAAGTAGACCGCTGAATTTAGTGATGAGAATGGCATTGGCATCTTCGCCATAGTACTTTCACAAGAGTGATAGGTGAAGAGGAACTGCAAGGAGAAACAAGTTTCGGTCCTGAAGCCATTGTTTTCTGTAATAATTGTGTCCTCCGTGCCTAAAGCAGCATGAATTTTCACAGATCTCACCTTGACTTTGATATTTACTATTATTCAATAGATGAGTACACTTAGGAGCTCATTGAAGCCTCAAACATCTGATCTGTGGTGTTGGTGAAGTGGGAAGAGGGGTTAGCTGTTTATTTCAATTCTACTACCAAAATACTATCATGTATTTAGATGTCACCAGAGCAATTTACATTCTGCCCAATTTGATGTTTTAGTACAAACGCTTTCTTTATTTCAGCTATTTTGTCTGTTTCTTTTCCATCCTGTTCGTGTGCTTCTCTCCCCTGATATTTGTCTTGTGAGATTCCTTCCTAAGTTATTGCTCCAGAGGAAATGTAGACGTGATGATAAAATCTCTGGCTACAGCTTTGCATGAAGTTTGAATTGTCTGTAAATAGCATAAGACGACAGAGATCTTAGAAGGGAAACACTTTTTAGTCTCTGATGAATCAACAGCTCACACAGATAAAAAACAGCCACGGAAAAGTATGTGATAGCATTCTCCTGTAATACAGATGTTGTGTCCACAGATTGCACTGCAACTCATCTTAAAAAAATGGGATGGAGTCTGAGAATTGAAGTGATTTGAAGGTCTCCCTATCCCCTCTACCACAAGAGATACAATAAACACTGCTAATGGTGGCAAACCTATATGCTGCTAGTTTTATATGTTATAACATACTCCTTGCATATTTCTCATGTGACCTTCAAAAAGAACCTGTAAAATTTAAATAGAATGACTATTCATTTTATGTTTACCTTGTCAATAGGGAAATCTTCACTTGCAGAGGAGAGATAACTTGTCAAAGACTATATATAGCTAGTAAATAACAGAAATGGATCTCAGTAGGTCTTGAAAATGAAAAACCGATTATCCATGTGTACATTCTCTCTCTCTCTCTCTCTCTCTCTCTCTCTCTCTCTCTCTCTTTCTCTCTCTGTCTCGTCCATTCAGTCATTCAGTTATCAGGTTGGTGGGTTTTATAAAAGAAATATACAACATGAATCATATCATCCTTGACAGGTAATTATGAAGATTCGAGAAATAATCCTTTATTCAAAAAAATTTTTTTATTTTGAGAGAAAGAAAACCGCAGAAAAATGAGACATACAAACCACAACTACAAGAACAACAAAAAACCCCAAACAGTAATAATATATGCTTTCAAAACAAGAAGATAGGAATTTAACAATAGTTGTAATATTGTGTATTGCTATCTTCAAAAAAGTTGCTTAGGTTACCAGATATAGAGATGCAAATTGATCTAATCATATATGTATTAAACCTGGAATCCGTGAGCAGGGTGACCTAGTGTGTAGAGGGTGGAGTGCATGGACTAGGAGTTTTTGAGGCACCTGCCTAGCTTCTTGGTCATCTTGTGCCCACCCTTCTGGGCTTTTGTTTCCCTTCTGGGATTTTCTGGGCCACTTCCTTCTTTTAGCCTGGCAGCTTATCCCTTGTCCACCTGCCCAGGCTGAGCAGGGATGAAACATGGAGGCATCGAGTCTGAATCATCTCAAAGGTGACTACCGAAGATTTTGTTGGCCTTCCAGGGCACTTGACATGCACTTGACATTAGTATTGAACAAAGCCAGAATATGATGGAAATCTTAGAAAATGGTTTTGAAGAAAAGTCTCATGGATGATTTTATCACGAATTCTATAAAACCAGTGCTTTATTCAACACCTCTCAACAAACAAACACCAATTGTATTCAGTCACCAAGCAAAGATCGCCAGAAATCACACCCAAAATCATTTCCAGTTTCTTCCAGGAAGAAAGCAACCTCGCTGCCAAGCATTGTAGAGCCAACTGAAGCTGCCAGCAGATCAGTTCAGGTCCATGCAATTCATCAGATCTGGCAGCTGTTCTGGTTCTAAAATTACATTTGACTTGAAAAAAATATCAGGTGAAAAATTGGTCTTTGCACTGAACCAGATGAAGAATTTTATGTATCAATTGGGTTACCCACTGTTCTTTTGCAAGAAAAACCATGTGACTTGCAAAATGCTATTTCATTGGCCCAAAAGAGAGAAATCACACTTCTGTAAATTCAGTGATATGCTGTCTCCAAGAACAGAGATTTCTCTTAAAATAGAAAAAGATTACATTTTGAAGATAAAGATATGCTGAAAAAAATACAGAGAGAAACTAGCAAGGCACAAGTAGAAGAAAAAATATTAGGAAAAGAAGAGACTATCAGAAACATTGCCAAAAAGAGTATAAGATACACAATATGAAATTCAGTCACAACCTAAAAAAATTTTTCAGCATTGTTTTTAGAAACTGTAAAGAGAAAAGGTGAATGCAGGCCCATGGTTAGGTATACAGCAATGGCTCCATCTCATTTATCTCCTCCAAATGATACAAAGTTGTTAGAAGATGAATTTATGATCGATAAGTCAGAAGTTTGGCCCATAAGTCTTGGATTACAATACCAAAAAAGGGTAGACTGAACGATCATGCAGTATCCTCTGCTGAGAGTGCTGCAGCTCTTCAAAGTAAGAAGGAAAGAGAATATCAGAGTGTATCACCTGTGACTCTGATGAGTGACAGAAGAGAAATCTGAGCCCTTCTGAACAAAAACCAAGTACAAGTTGTATTTTGGTAGATTAATTGGAAAATAATCACATGCCTATAAAAACGTATTCTGAGAAAGCTGAAAGACCAGCTAGACACAAAAGGAAGAAAGCAAAGCAAGAACAAAAAAAAATTAAGACCAATGTAGTTGAAGAATAGCCTGAAACAGGACAGTCTGACGACTGAACATATATGTCAGATATTGCCCAAGACAAGTACCAAGAAATGCAGATCAAACCATTAAAAGATTGTGAGAAGATGAGGAATGATCACAATGCCAAAAAAAGGAGATACTTCCTGTGGAAAATAGGAAAATGAAATGTAGAACCAAAAAAGAAAGAATCTAGAAAGAAGCATTTCTACAGTGAGTCTCAGAGGAAAAAACTTGCACCTGAACAAATGATTTTTGACCATTGCAAGAAGTCACAGAATTTCCAAGCATTCATCTGATTGGTGGGTGGTACATTCAGAGAAAGTCCTGTTTATAGCCATTCATTAAGAAATGATGTGTCACTTCTGGGAAAATGGCAGAGTGGTGAGCAGCAGAAAAAGGATTACAGGATCTCTAAGTTGTGGTGTCCAGACCCTGGAATATAGCAACATAAGAGAAATAGGAGGAAAATGGGTCCCTTGAATACAGGAAGGATCTGAACTGAGACTTGAAGCCCATGGAGAGAGGTAATTCAGGAATCCAGTAAAAAAAGAAAACCAGGGGCGGCAGCCTTGCTAGGCAGGAGAAACCCAAAAGAAGCCATGTAGCTTCCACCCTCTGCGTGTTGGCAGAGGCCCAGCTTGATGGGGAGAAGCAACAAGGAAGTTTGCAGCTTCCCTGGGTTACAGCAGCAGCTCTGTTGGCTGGGGAGAAGCTGTCTTTGTCCCCTCCCCCCCAAGCAACTGGACGTGTCACAGGCTGAGATTATTGAAGTAGGAAAGCAACCTGACATATGTGTTGGGTGATTGATTTTACAAGCCTGAGGCAATTATATAGAGGATAACACAATGCAATATAGCAATGATTGTGGATTTCCTACTGTCCTATTACTGTTTTGTTTCATTTTACTGTTCTGTTTTATTACCTTCAAAATAAAATAAAGGAAATGTAGTAGAAAACTTTGATAGGTCATTTGTAACCCTCAACTGCTTTGCAATACATTTTATACTTAATCTTAGCAAAAAGGCTGAGATGTGATTGCAATACATTTTATGCTGTGAAAGGAAAT